TTTTTTCTGCCTATTGAATGATCTTGGTTTTCTTTGCGTTTGTTTTTCCAATTTGTTGTCGGACTCTTGGGTCAGAGGCTATCCTTCATTGTCTTCTGATCCTGGTTCTTTAGATCTAGAAGCTCTATGCAGACCCTGCACTTGCTGAAAGGTAAACTTTACTTTGAGTTGAGAAAGTGGCAAGGTTGCTTTCTTTTGGGTGGCTCCTAAATGTTGTTATCTGTAAGTCTTTTCTCTTGGTGGAGTGTCATTCTTCCACTTGGGAGTCTCAGCCTGTCTGTGGATATTGTGTGAGTTGAGAGTTCCCAGTTAACCCTTGGCTGATCCATATCTCGGCATGCACCCAGTGTCCCTGCCCGAAGACTGACACCCTCTCCCACACATACAGTGATAATTGACCAATGAAAGATTTTAGGGTTTTACCCATCTGGATGTCCCAGCTACCCCATAATCTGAACAATACCCTGGCCAGTTGTTCCAAGACACCCACCTTTCCTGATATCTCCTGCTCCAGGCATTGGGCACTGCCACCTTTCAGAGCAGAACTTGGCTAGTTAGTTCATGATCTGTTTTCTTAAGGTAGACTTTGTTTTTCAGAGGTAACCCAGATTGAGATCCACTGAGGGTTTGCTTTCTTTTCTTTTTTATGAGTACATATTTTCAAAAACATCTTTTCTCTTAGTTGCGGAGATTTATTGTAGGAAGGGAGAAATGAACCCTCATCATTTCTCTATTCTGTTCAATTTTACATCCTAATTAGCAATTCATAACCAAAATGATTTAATATTTTTGCTAATTGAGACTCTTAGCTTGTTTGTTTTTTAAATTTTCATATCAAGGGCTGGGGATGTGGCTCAAGTGGTAGCGCGCTCGCCTGGCATGTGTGCGGCCCGGGTTCGATCCTCAGCACCACATACAAACAAAGATTTTGTGTCCGCCGATAACTAAAAAAATAAATATTAAAATTCTCTCTCTCTCTCTCTCTCTCCCTCTCTCTCTCTCCCTCTCTCTCTCTTTAAAAAAGAAATGGGAAATGACTTGTTTCAGATTAGTAGCTCCAGAATAGAAGTCTGAGTCCTCCAATGCTATCCACAGAGTAAAATTGAAATATGTTGCAATTAAAAGATCCTTTAAAAAATTTTTTTTTCATATCAATATGTCAATATCAATATATTTAGACTATAGTATTTGAAATATAAGCCTTCTGTTTATCAAATTTGCTATAAATATTTTTCAGACTAACTTATTTTTATTTTAGCTATTTTATTTTTCATGGTAATGAAATTTCACACCTTAACATATCAATTTTGTCAATATTTTCCTTTGTTGAAAGATATTTTGCAAATGTCTAAATCTGCAGTTGTTTTCTTATATTGTAGATTAAAATATTTCTCTTACATATCTTGAAACTATTTTGTGATTTTCTTGTGAAGCTTGAATCTATTCCGCCTCAAAATTCCAAACGGATACTAGCTGTGTTAATACCTTTTATCGAATAATTTTTAAAATCGTTGATTTTATCCCCATTATATCATCTTAAATTCATTTTTAAGATATGCTGTATTTCTGTGTTTTCACTCTACTCTTTGGATGGGTTTTTCCTTCATGCCCATATTCATTATATATTAATAATTTCTATTTTAATAATTCATAAGCCAATTAAATTTCATTTTTATTCTTTTCAATTATTATTCAATTACTTTCCATTTATTCAGCACACAAGTCATCTGAGCTAGAATATAAAAATTAAAAGATGAATGAGACATGTCCTTTGTCTCAATGAGTTCATAGTCTTAAAGGATATATATGATTAGTTCTTCTAAAGAATTTACAAATGCTTAAAGTATAAGAAAGAAAGATGCCTTAAAAAGGAAAAGATGAAGTTGAGTGTTGATTTATAGGCAGAACTTCACCAGGGAAATGAATGAATGAACAGAACGGAATCTATGCACAGGTGTGCACACAGGTATAGCTGGGTCACAGGGGAAGGACATGGAGACAGCTGAGTGTCAGTCTTTTACACTCCAGAGGAATTTTATTATAATTTAGTAAAATTCATAACCAATTCTATTAAACTCTTGACCAGGAAAAATATTAATTACATGGGGTAGGCCATAAATAATTATAGAATTGAGTCCTTAAAGTCATTTGTTGAAGAATGGGGCAGATAAAAACACTTTGAAATACAATGAATAAACTGGTTTTTTGACAATGTCCATAAAATTGAGAATATAGTAAATTAAAGATGGAGCTCATTTTCCTAAGACGAAAGACCATCCCTTTCAAGAATAACCAGTCAGCTTATACCATAGGAAACAAAATCAATTGTCATGATTTTATTGAATCCCCTCAGTAATTCTCTACTAATGTATAGTCCACTGCAGAGATAAAAGTTATCAGTTCCATCAGCCAGCAAAGCCCTGGGGAATGGGAGTAACTGGACAGTAATAAGGAGGGAGAATACTATTGTAAGAATGAAAGGCAATAGAAGTATACTAACTGTTCTTGAATGTTGATGGTGACATGAGAGAATCAAAATGTAGCTCAGGGAACTGTGTGGGCATATCAAGAGCTTTCTCTTAGTAAGTTCTAACATGGTGTGGTAAGCATCACATTGCACACCCTAAATGTACACATTTTAAAATTGTAAAATATATTTCAATAAAGCTCTCAGGGGGGAGTTCTAAACATGTTTAGAAGACAGGGGAAAATGGTTTAGTAGAGGTGGAACAGTTAAATGTTCAAAGAGGGGAACCTACTTTAGAACATGAGTTCTTTAGGAAGTGTGAAAAAAAAAACTTGTCCCAAGATACAAAGGGGAAGAGAGAGTGTTTCTTCCTCTTAGGATGGTAGCAGAGATAAAATTAGAAGATTTAAAGAAAGAGATATTGAGGGACAGATGCAAAAAGCTAGGCATCTCACATTAATGTTTTGATCTTCTAAATAAGTTTATTTCATAGACATCTCTATCAGAATCACCGGAGACTACTGGATAAAAATTCCACCCTTGGATCATTCTTATCAGAACTCAGGAAGTTGATTTTAGTGAACTCACTAGGTTATTCTAACTAGAGCTTGAGAACCATTCTTCAGTGAAGTAGGAGGTTATCTACATGGTTGGAAAGCATTAATGTTTTAAGGAAGAGAGCAGAAGATATGGGTGGATATGGAAGAAATAAAAGAATTGCTGAGCAGATCCCATGTCAAAGTTGGGAAGCAAGAATCCATTGCCTTGTTAGCGGGGTTGACTCAGCTACAGAACATGGTTGACTGTGCTTCCATGGTTCTGCTAGGGTAAAGTGGTACTTCTGAAAGACCCTGTTACTACTTCTTTATTTGTCTGTGCACAGGGAAAATTACCAAAGGCAGCTGCTAGATCAAGGACATGAAAAAAAAAAAAAAAAAAAAAAACAGAGAGATCTTCCTTCCTTCTGGGCTTGAGAAACACACCTTTGTTTCTTGGCAGGCAGAATAAATAACACTGATTACTACATAAAATCCTATGGATTTGTATATTCAGAGTTTTAATTTCACATATTTATAATGAGCCTCTCAGCATGTCAGGGACTTCCCCCTGTGAGTTGTGGCTCAGTTCTTGTCATAGATGCTGTTGCTTCACCTGCATGTAACTGGTGATGAGCAGTTTGGATTTGTGAAGAAATCCAAAGTTGCAAGACCTAGTCTCCTGGATTGTCTTTTTTTCTTTTCCTTTTTCTTTCCTTCTCTTCTTGAGCTACATTGGCAGCTTCTTGCCCCATCTCCAAGCTGCCAACCTCTTCCTTGCCAAGATCATCTTCTATACATTATATATTTTTTTTGATGCAGTATGACAACTGTAGTAAGTAGCCACTGCTGGGAAGGTTCCCCATCGCCACAGAGTGATATCTAGACAAATTGGAGAGACATATAAGGGTTTTTGCAGCATGTCTTACCTTCATGTCTTCAACCACTGTCCCCACCATCCCTATCTCCCAAAGTCCAGGGACAGTGACCTCTGTCATTGTTGCAGTATACCTGCCCATGACCACACCCTCCTTTCTGGATTAGCTGCCACTCTTTCTATTGTTTTCCTGAGGAGGTGTCTTCCAGCGCTGCCCCTTTCTGTAGCTAACTTGGACCCAGCTCTGTCTTACAGGCAGAATATTTTTCCCATCTCTGTTCTACTTTATACAAATATCAACCACTACATTTGGAGTATCATATTGTGTTCATTAATATTTTTGTTATCACAGCGGGAGTTGAATTTCCTGAGACCCAAAATTGGTTCATTAATTTTTCATTTCCCCACTGACTCATAGGAAGTATACCTTCAATTTTAGTTGAATACATTTGAAACTGAGGGCCTCTTTATGTAATCAAAACTGAAAGAGCACAGCAAAGTCGAGTTCTTTGGAGCAAGCAATATGGGCAACTCTGCACCATTTTAGAAGTCCTTCTTTTTCCATGTACTATTATACGTGGATAATATTATATAACCTGCACTAAAGATGGGCAGCTGCCCTTGTGTGAACTATATCCAAAGTTGTGAGACCCTAGTTATAACATTGATTAACTAAATGCTTATAGAATCATGGAGTTTGAATGGGAAGAAGTGTCTTGGAAGAGATTCTTTTGATTTGCGATGAGGAAACCACTCCTATTCTGATATTAGACCATGCATGTAGCTTTTATCAGACCCCCAACCAACAAATTTTAGGAATTCATGAGAATTAAATCCTTTTACATTCCAGGTAAATACATTTTGAAAAAGAGCAAAATGTACAAAGCATTTTAGTTCAGAAGAACTCCACTGGGGAATGTTAAGTTGAATTTAAGGCATTGGGTGGGAGAAAGCCAGGCTTCTTGTAAGAGATAATTGGTAAGTTCAAGGAGGGATTTTAAATACAAGTGAAGTATTTTTCATGTGTTTTGCTGAGATGATTTGAGCCATCAGAAGACAGAAGAGTGGATTTTAATGTTTCTTTTTCTTGAGGTTTAATTGAGCCTCTTCTCTCTAATAGGTTTCAGAACCTGCTATGGTCCAGAAAGACATTTGTGGACAACATGAAAATCTATAACCACAGTTACATCTACATGCCTGCCTTTTCTATGAAGACGGGAACAGAGCCATCTCTCCGGGTTTATTATACACTGTCAGATGTTGGTGCCAATCAAACAGTGCTTTTTGCCAACCCCAACTTTCTTCGTAGCATTGGAAAGTTCTGGAAAAGTAGGGGAATCCATGCCAAGCGCCTGTCCACAGGACTCTTCCTGGTGAGTGCAGCCCTGGGTCTCTGTGAAGAGGTGGCCATCTATGGCTTCTGGCCCTTCTCTGTGAATATGCATGAGCAGCCCATCAGCCACCACTACTATGACAACGTCTTGCCCTTCTCTGGCTTCCATGCCATGCCTGAGGAATTTCTTCAACTCTGGTATCTTCATAAAATCGGTGCACTGCGAATGCAGCTGGACCCATGTGAGGAGCCCTCGCTCCAGCCCACTTCCTAGGGACGGTGGAAGGAGAGAGAGAGGACTGAGCCAGGGTCTTTTTGTTAGGTTTTCTATGTGACTCCAAAGGAGAATGGTCAAGTTTTTCATGGATTTGCATGGGCCACTTGGAAAAAGAAGAGAAGAACAACAAAAATCCAAGCAAAACTCTACTTTTAATGACAGCTTGGAGGACAAAGAAGAAATGAAACATCCTGTGAAATGTTCTACAGCACATGGTGAATTTACAACTCATAAAATGCCGATGAAATGACATTGGTAAAGCACATATACGTGGTTCATATCTAGAAGATGCAATTCAAAAATAAGATGAATGCTAGTTGTTGAGGCTACGGAACTAATCAAGGAGGAATAAAGGAAATGCCAGGGCAAAAGTGTTGCTGGCTCATAATAATTTTAAAAGACCTGTCTTATTAAGACTAGCATTAGGACTATAGGTTTTTAAAAATTATTATTTATTTTTTTGCCCTGTTTAAGGGCAGTGGGTAGGTGATGGGGTAGATTTTAAAAAATCCCTTATTGAGTAATAAGGATACAAAATGCTGTAACTGATTATTGTGATTTGTTGAACCAAGTCTACATTAACTATAGTTCTCCTCCATTTCTAAAACTTTAAATAAGATTTGTTTCTTCCCCTTTTGTCAAGTCACTTAGACAATGTGAAGCATTGTTGAATTTAGACTGTGTTGATTCATAGTCTGGATAACATGAGCCACTTTCCTGCCTCAGAATTTAGGATGTGAATTCGATTTTAGGTCTGCATTATGTAAACCTGTTTGCATTGTTATTATTATTTTAGTGCAAAAAAGAGTACATATGGAATACTCATTTGTAAATGGCATAAATGCCTCCATAATGTAATGTTCAGAGATGAAGTAAAGCACAGTGACATAAGGTGAGCATCTGTGGAAGATGGACCAGAAGGCAGATCCCTTCCCTATCTAACATAATATATTCACTCCAAGATACATCATATGTATGCATTCATGCATATAGACATGTACGCCCTCACACCCACTAGACAGAGTTAAAGCTCATTCTTGTGTAACTATGAATGCTATACCCACATGACTTGGTATGGCAAAAATCTGTAAACAGTTTTAGAGAGCCACCTATAAACTGTTTGGTAACACAACTTGCAGATATAAGACATGCGAGTTTATTGGTTGCTGCTTGTCATACCAGCACAAAAGGCAAGTGTAACCCCCAAACACTTATTCCAGAAAGAGCAGAATTGTTTTATTCGTTGATTCCCACCAAAATCTCATGAATGGGCCCTATGTTAAGCATGGTCCCTCAAGGCATGTTTCATACAAGCAAATTGATATGAATTAGTAGCTACTTATTTCCTTAATAACAGGGAGGATTACAGCAGCTTTTGACATACAGAAAGAAAAACCTGCTGTTATTGTAAGCTGCCAAATATGTTTCCATATAAGGAAAAGGAAATCTCTCACTGCCTTTGTGCTTTGAGATGTCTTATGTTAAAAGGGGACATGAACTCATTATCTTTATTCTTTCAAATGTCATCAAAATGTAGGTAAACTGTACCAAAAAGTTCTACCACGGTTTTAATGGTAGAAACTTGGCATACCATATAGACTAAAACAAGTGGCATTTTTTTTTAGTGAGTTAATTTACAAGATACCAACATTAACAAAGACCTTGGAAAAATCCTACGTCATTGGAGTAGGAAATTTCTAATTGGGGTTGAATATTGAAATTATTACAGAAATTAACATTTTAAATATGATTGGCATTACACAGATTAAATTGATACTTAGAAAGTTAAGTGTTTGAGAATGTCAATTCTATGCAGAACTAATTTACTCTTTTGATCTTGTGTGGCAGCAGAACGTAATGGGAAGTTACTATGAGTGAGCTGTGCTCAATATTCACTGATATGCACTCCTGAATATATTTCCTCTTTTTGAACTATTGTTATTATTTAATAATTGATTGAAAAAGGAATACATTTTTAACAATATACTTCATTAAAAATATAAAAGGGCCAATGAAGAACACACATAAAAATTAACTAAATGTGTCATTCAAATTAGCACATTAATTGTTAAAATGAAATTAATGAGTTCATAATGCCCATACCTCACAGTTCTGTTGAAAAGCCATCTAGAAGTTTTACTTTTTGTTATGATTCCTGAAATAGATTTATGTATAGATTTGTACAATATTTAGTCTATAATTTTTTAAAATTTTTGGTGCATTGCAATTATATGTAATAGTAGGATTTATTGTTACTTATTTGTTCGTGCACAAAAAATAACCATATAATTTTAGTCTACACATTTTTTAAACTATTATATGTAACTTCTGAAACGCAAAACAGAAGTGGCCAGGACTGGCAATGTTTGATTAGACCTATGCTTCTCAACGGTGGTGATTCCTCTTCCTTCTGGTGTCATCGGCAATGTCTGGAGACGTTTTTCATTGTCATGACTCAAGGATGCTACTAACATGTAGTGTGTAGCAGCCACAAATCCTGCTAAATGTCCTAAGGTACATAGGTCAGCCTCTCAACACGTCATTACCCAGTCTAAAATGTCAGTAGTGCCAAGGTTGAGAAACCCTAGATTAGAGCAAAATTAAAATTTGATTGTTCTACGTTCTCTTCATTTACATGCTCATACTAAAGTATGACTACAATTTAATGATAATGTTTTCTTAGGGTAGATTATGGTTAAGTGTTCTTTTGTAAAGGTGATAGTTCATAGGTATGCCACACATATACCTGTTTTTTTTTTAACTTGTGTAGATGAATATTTCTAAACAAGAAACATGTGTAAGTGTGTGTAGCATGAAGTCATTCATCTCTGTCTTTACTGAAATATATGTATTTCTAAGTAAGGATTTCTCTAGGATTGTCCTGGAGAGTTGTGTAGTAATACTCTATTACTACTAAGAAGTTGAATTCTAAAGTCTCATGATTTAATTTTGTTTATCTGATAATAAGTTTTTCAAAATTGGGCCTGGTAGTTTACCGAATTTGGTCAATTTTAATATTTCTGACACTTAAGATTCAGCTTAGAAGACATTTAGGCTATTTTAAACACATCCAGAAAGAAAGTTTAATCACATTCAATGTATCTGCCAAAAGAGGGTATTCCTTTATACCATTAGATTAATATTTTAACTTCTTTTTTCAAAATTTAAGTTGACAAAAATTAGATTGCTTCATGGGGGCAAAGGGAAGGAGGGAGAGATGACAAATGAGTACCCTCATTTTTATTAGCCCCAATTTGAGAATTGATTCTGAAGATCGTGAATAAGAGTTGTCTCTGTTTAATTTTAACCACACTTCAGTATAATTAAGATAGATGAAAGATTAAGTCATTCCATAGGAAAGAGTAGTAATGTTTTATATGAAAGATTGTTTGTGGAAGAGGACTTCTGGACATTTTTGCTTTATAGAGAACATTTTTTTTTTTTGGTACCAGGGATTGAACTCAGGGGCTCTCGACCACTGAGCCACATTCTCAGCCCTATTTTGTATTTTATTTAGAGACAGGGTCTCACTGAGTTGCTTAGCACCTCGCTTTGGCTGAGGTTGGCTTTGAACTTGCAATTCTCCTGCCTCAGCCTCTCCAGAGCCGCTGGGATTATAGGTGTGTGCCACTGTGCCCAGCATAGAGATCATTTTATCACAAGGTTATACAAAATTGTGCATCTAAACTGTGTAATTCTTACACAAGAAGTTAGGGAAGTGCTCATCAGATTTTGTTTCTGTATAAATTTAGTTATTTTAGCAAAGGTAGAAAATAAATGATCCAAAATGGCAGATGTTTAGACAATATCCTTTGTTTGGCTTTGTGATATCTCATGCACTTTAGGGAACTAAACATTTGATTAGGCTAAATATAACTTGTACCCAAAGCAGTCTGGATCGTGTGGTTTAAATGGAAAATAACTGAAGACATCCTGGGAATCTTCAATGTGCCACAAATATTCTTAGATTAGTCCACGTCTTTACAGGAGTGGTATAGATGATCCAAAATGGAGACAATATCAGTAACATTCTTCTTTTCAGGAATTATGACAGTTTTATAACTTTATTTTATATAACCTCATTTCTTTGTTTAAAAACTCACTTCCCCCACCCCTGTAATTTTAATTCCTATGTTTGAAATACTGACTTCGTGAAAATTTTAACTGATGGAGGGGAAAAGTGTCACCAACCCACTGAGAGCTTCTGGAAGTGCTGTGGTGTTGCATAAATACTTTCCCATCAAGCACCAGATAATATCAACTTTTAATTTGTAGAATTCCAGAGATCAAGAGCTGTAGGGATTTTTGCATGTACTTGAGGACAAGTATGTGGGGAAAGAAGGACTGGAAGTAATACTGTGCTTTTTATTTCTTTATCTTCCCAATGCAAATGTTGCCTCTCAGATTACATGACTTTTGGGGTGCATACATTAGGGATGCAAGTGAATTAACAATTTCAAGGTACCTGCTACCTAGATCAATGTGTCTAATAAAGTCAGCAGTAAACAGACCTAGTAAGTTTGGTGACTTCATTCCATCATGTTTTAGGGAAAGGGTGAGGCTAGTAGAAAGGAAGAGGTGACCTTCCTCCAAAGCTCTCAGCATACAAGGGGTCAGAGAAATCTCCCCGCTGCCCTTGGCTCTCCAGTACCATGTGTCTCTCTCCTGCCAGAAATGCTGGCTCAACTCTGGGGTTAAGCTAGTAGCATGAGACTAGAGAGGCGGTGTGGAAATTTGCTGAGAAGCTTAAAATTTTGCACTGCCTTAAACCGTTTTGCTTTGTTTTTGCTTCACTTGTGCTCTCTAAATTTGGGTACCCTGTGGCAGAGTCTGGACACCCTGACCTACTTATAGCCCTGCCAATGATTATGAAAAATAGAACTTTTTTTTTTCTGTTTAGATGGACTTGGAGTCTGTAAAGCGAGGGAGATATCAAATATTCCACTTCTTCCTATTAGCCTCTTTGACAAACCTAGAAAATAACTCACTAGAATTCTGAAGCTCAGAATATCTGGCTATTAACTTCCAAATATGAGGCCACAATATTTAGGTTAAGCACTATAAAATCATCATTTTTGAAGTGGAAGGAGACTTGAACTTTTAAGATTTTTTTCTTCCCATTATAAGAAAATGGATATGCTCTGCCTTTACCCTCATCCTTGGCTTGTCATTTGACATTTTCATGTGCATTCAAGAGATGAGACATGGAAATATGTGCATGAATAGAAACCTCCAAACAATACAAGCCCAGCTTGTCTTCAATAAGGAAAAATACTTCTCTTTCCTTCTTTTGGTTTTCTTCTTTCTGGTGACAGCATTTGTGATTTCTTTTATCTCTCATACCTAAGGAATAAAATAACATGTTAAAGATGGATTTATAATATCTGTGAGAAATTGAGTAATATACAAAGCCCATGACTATAACTTCTTAAAGCACAAAAGAGGAATTATATTTTATGGTCACTCATGTACCTATCTCTGTGTTCCTACTTATCCCTACATTGTGCTAAAATTTTTACTGATTCTGCCTTTCAGTTGAAACTGTGGGATCTAATCAATGATACAAAGCTGTCTGGAAGTTTTATAGAATAATATCCAAATATATTGATTCTGTCTCTTCCTGCTTCTATGTAATTAGACTTTTTGCAGATATTTGTCATTTTAAAATGTGTATTTCACACAATACCAATAAACATCAAAGAGATGTCATTTAATCCAGGGCAGAAAAAAATCAGGAATTAGATAATGCCTGTTTTTTCTCTGAACAGTAAGAGAAACAAAAAATTATGCTAATAATTTTCAATGATTTAACCAAAATGATTTAACTGAAATGGAAAAACATAAGGGAAATTTCATGGTTTTAATTTGAAAGTACCTTTGGGTGGGGTCTTAGAAGGCAGCTAAACAGAGCACAAGGATGCAAGGAAGAAGGTCTGGACCTTGCATGCAGTCTCAAGAATAGAACCTTTTCAAAATATTTTACAGGAAATATATTGTCATCCAGCTATTAGGCGTAAGAATGAAAAGATATTAGAGGAAATCAGTGTATGGGCCAGATTGCAAGGCACTGGGACAAGGACAGAGGAGCAGCTCCTGTCCACCCACTGGACCTTGGCAGGCTTGCAACCCTCCCATGCCTGACACCTCCTGTGGTACTTTCCTTGGTGTCTGGGCCACGTGAAGCAAGCACTCTCATTTTCATAGCCCTCTGTCATCTGCACTTTGGCACCTACTCCCAAAGGAGGATTATCATTTAGATCTCCCGTCAGGATGACACAGTGATAGGCAGAAGTGACACTTTGAACCTGACCCTTTGGAACACAGTCACCACGTGGCCTGCATGGTTAGAGTTCTCTTTACTCTCCTGCTCTCACAAGCACTTCCACGAGAGGCTCTTGTATGGTTACATAAGCAGACTTGTATACATTTTCCTCCTATGTTCTAGAGTACAAGAAAACATACATACATTTGTGTTTACACATACATGTTCCCCCACACACCCCCGTACCTCACATTGAATATGCCCATGGAAAAAAAGGAGAAGACTGATTGGATTGGGGTGGGGAGTGGCAGAGTGTGCCTTAACCTTGGCTTGGCTCCCACTTCCTTATGTATTTCCATGTATGTTGCCACATTACAAATGTAACCATGTCTTTTCTAAGTTGTACCTTTATCATCAGCAAGAACTCTTATAAATGTAGCAAATGTGACTATTTTATAGAAATGCACAATAGTATATAGGCCTTGGAGAAGTCTGATAATGGTATGTAAATATCTTTTGTTGAAGTCATAGAACCTTCTGGTAGGAAGGTCCTTAGGTGATAGCTACAGGATTAGGGCTGTCAGCTCATAGAATTGATAGCTACAGAGTTGGGGCTGTCAGCTCATAGAATAAGAATGTTTGTTTCTCCAGAGAATTCCAGTATTCAAGGAAGCAAGGGATCCATTTGTTGCTGTCTCTCATTCAGTCTCAAGCACGAATCCCAAGGACTTTCTCATTGGTCGATCACTATAGAAGTCCTCCCATAATATACAGGATTCACAAATCAGGAGGACCGATGGCCGCTAGGGTATATCATAGAGACATGAGAAAAAGAGAATAGGCAACTGTAGCTCCATAGAAAAGCCTGCTTCATCTTTAAAACGTCTGGAATATTTCTAGAACTCTAGTTACCAGACAGCATAGTTGGTCTAAAAATATTGGCAGGGTGGAGTTTTTCTTTGGTCTCCTTAAGTCCAGTATTGCACATGTGTGCAAACTGTTTCTTGAGACCAAAATTTCAGAGATTAGAAGTTAGAAGAAAATAAAAGCTCATATATTCTTTTTTTCATATAATGCAGTCATGGATGTAATGATTCTGGAAAACATTTTAGATTAAACTGTAAAATTGAAGTCACCTTTGAAATGAACATCTTCCTATTAAAACCAAACTCCATTGGCAGGAAGTGTGGGGAAAACCAGTGTTGTTGTTCTTTTTTTTTTTTTTTTAGAGTTTCACATACAATGTAGCAGGTAAGAAAAAGATTTTAATTGGTACTTTTTATAGTGTGACTTGAAAAAAAAATAGTATCTATCTCTGTTGGCTCTGCTGAGTTGTTTCTTTCCACAGAAACTAAATGTAATGTCAAAAGAGAAGGTTTGCTGTAAAAACATCTCCTTTTCTTTAGTGCGTTCATTGTAATTATGGCTGGCAGTGAGAAGGTTCAGTGAGTCTCAGTTTCTCTACCTCCCTAACTTGGAGAAAATTTGGAAATGTACCCTGTGAATAAAATGACTTTTTAAAAAAATACTGTGTGAAATCTTTTCATTTTAAAAAAATACTGTGTGAAATCTTTTCATTTCCCTGAAGTATATGGATAAGACTGTTTCCTTTTCTATTTCTGCTTTATTTCATATCCATACCAACTACCTTTTTTCCCGTTTCCTCTTATAGATGAAAAGTCATGTTACTTAGTGAAGATTTTTTTTTTAGAAACAGAGATTTGCAATTGCTATAAATATAATATACTGTTGGTATTTCTGATGCATAAAAAAGGCACTATCAGGGAAAATAGAAAGAAAATCAAACATTTATATGATTAATGCTGATTTGTTTACTTTGTTAAGCAATAGAATTTTTCCTTTTTGTGCGATGAGTTAGTATGTGCATCCTAAAGATACTTTAATAAATTCCTAACAAGATGCAAAACATTTTAATTCCCCTTCTGCCCATATAGGTGACTTTGAGAAGCCCAAGTGTGCCTTCCTGTCCAAATTATTGAGATAATTGCTTCAAATTCCCATTCCCTTGGGCTCTAGTGGCCCAGTTCTGCCCCAGTCGCTTTCTCAGAGGGTGTGACATCAGGAAAAGTGACCTTGGTCCCTCCTTTATGATATATTTCTTGGCAGCAATTGATCAAGGTACTTTGTACAGATCTTATTAATTCTCTGACTTCATTCTCTCATATCATAGCCTCTTAGGCTACAGATATTTCAGGAAAGGACTCTGTTACCTACTGGAAAATCTCCATGTTGTTTAGCTGAATCATTTCTTTGTGGAAAAAAAGTCCAGAGCTTTAGTATAAATATGGGTTATCCTAACTATACAAGGAAAACAGATTTAACTTGTTTTCACCAACTATCATTAAATCTAAAATTCTAGATTATACTGAGTCCTGCTGTTCCACTTTGTTTTGACTTAAGCACTCAAAAACAGATATTAAGGATCTAAAGGCATATACTCAAGAATTCCCCCAGACCTAAAAAAGGGCATAATTATAATCATAGACTATATTTTTGCTTGAAAACTTATTATTTTGGACATGCAATGATATTCTTGATGATATAAAGAATTAAAGTTGTAGGATGATTGAATCCATTTACAATTCATATTAAAGTTTTCAGGGCTTTTGAATATATGGCAAAGTAAGCCCTTGGTCATTTCTTTTAAGTAGATAGAGTGAAACATTTTTTCCTCCATAAGAGTCATAATTTCTGGACATGAATTTAAAAACATCCTCAAAATGTTTGGGAACTTTCTCATAATAAACAGTGCAATCAAAATTCAGAATAAAAGGCCATCAAGAGTTTATTGGTCTCAGGGTAGGTAGATATTGGTCAAGAAGATTCCAGTGTTTGTGGAAAAAGGTCCAGAGCTTTAGTATAAATGTGGGTTACCCTAACTATACAAGGAAAACAGATTTAACTTGTTTTCACCAACTATCATTAAATCAAAAATTCTAAATTGTACTGAGTCCTGCTGGGGACAGGGAAATAAGTAAGAATGGGGTATGGTTGTAGGTTGGGTGGGACCATTATAATCAACCTCCTACCAAGTGGATTACTAATTCCCTGGAGAATGTTTCTCTGCTGGGATTTCAATGCTGACCTTGGTATTGTTGGTTGGGCACTTGGCTGTGGTGGAAACTGCACTATCCTTGGTCCCTGTTATTGGTGCCATACATCTCCATACTTGCTACCCAAACTTCCAAAACCAATTTTTATGAAAGCTCATGGAGAAAACAGTGAGCTAATTAAGAAAAGGGACTACATGAAATCCACTCCACGTTGGTTTTGTATGGAACTTGCATAGGTTAATCTCTGGAGCCGTATGGTGTAGTTATCGATGCTTTCCATCATGGAACATGCAGCAGTTTGTCCAACTGAAAAAGACATGCACTGTCCTTTGACCAAGGGACACATATCTTACAACAAAAGAAATATAGCTTATGCTAAAGGAATTAGCTACTATTACTTTTCACCATGTCATTTAGAAGATACATTCTCAACAGGAGTGCTATTGTCCCCCAAAGAGGCTAAAATTGGTCCTGGGTTGGGGGCAAAATATTAAATATTACCAGGATATGGGGAAAATATATTAAAGATTTCCTTGAGTGTTGGGGTAAAGAATAACAAAAGAAGTTTGAGGATCACTGATCTGGAAGCAGCTGTCTTTCACAATGTTGACGTGGGCTAATAGAGACTCAATGGACCATCTGAAAGACAGTGTCTTTTCAGACTGGGCTACCATCTTACAGGATGTGATGTATATTTTGAACAGTGACCAGTTTCATAATTGTATAATATTTAGAATATTTGGATCTGGGAACCAAGGGATGGAAGTAGAAGTAGCTCCACAAATTGTGATATATGATGCTGAGAGCCATAGCCCGAGTAGGAATGACGCATGGCATTTTTGGTTGAAAGGTGACCCCAGCAAGCCATTGAGATGATAATGGTTATGTTAAGATGTGTATTCAATTGGAGATTAGACCCCTGCTGTCCGCCTCGGCCTGCTACTTTGGAGCTCTCATGGGGACTCCCGGAGAGTTCCCATTGGTTGGGGAAATGCAGTAGGAGGGATTTCCGGAGGAGGGATTTCCTGTTGGTGTGGTGTGTCCTGGGAGAAGGCCACGTGGGTGGCTTTCGCGGGAGTTTTTGGAAATAAAGTGTGTTCCTGCTTGAGTGGCTTGTGATTTTGTGCCCTTTCAACCAAAAATGCCATGCATCATTCCTACTCGGCTATGGCTCTCAGCAATTGTGATTTTATCCTTCTTTAATTCAAACTACTTTTTAATTCCCTTAAGATCCTTCTTTTATCTGTGTGCTATTAGGTATATTTAAAAATTTTTTAGTATGGGGGAATTTCTATGCATGATTTTAATTCTTTTCTGAAATTTATTAATTAAACTTGTTTTATAGCCCAGATTTTATGTCTTTAACAGGACATTCATT